GGTTCATAAAGCGGCTAATAGGAGTCTTTTAGAACGAGCACATGGCAATAAAATAATAATAATAAAAAAAAGGAAAATTACATCCAAACATCTATTCTAATCTTTCACCCATCTAAAAGCCTCTCAATAGTTGCTAAAAAAAAAATCAACTATGGGGTTCAAAGGGAAATTCAATTAGGAAATAATCATTAAACTAAAAATTATGATTTTTTTTTTCCATATTTCTTTACGATTTGCTATTCTAAAGTTCATTCCTTCATGAAATCTAGAAAAATCGTTTTTGTTTTAGCATGGGAACTTTATCAAATTTAGGCCAATGAAAGATTTGATAGATTTATCTTAATGGTGCCAAAAAATGCAGGAGTGTTTTTCATGTTGCAGTAAAACAAAGAAATAAGGAAGGAAAGGTTAGTTTTTCAAATTAATCTTTTCAGGGTTTCACCTTAAAAATACACGATAGCAGGAAATCTTTATGCCTGATGCTGCTCGCATATTTATACTGCTATTTATGAGAAAACATAATTTGGGTTTAGGAAATCATTTCCGAACATGCGTTTGATTCCTGTGATATTTTTCTTGTTGAAGCATAATAAATGTAGAGCCATTCCTCAGAACGGCCTTTAAAAATTATTCAGACCTTAAAATTGTTCATATTCTGTCTTGAAACAACCACAGACCTCGACGTGTGATACTAGAACTTTGATAGAGTAAAAACAAAGGAGAGCATGACTGTGATGCAGGAGGTAAGGAAAGCATCGTCCACAAATTATTTTATACAGAGAAATCTGAATCATCTATTCCTCCCATCAGTTCTGATCTGTTTCTCTCTCCCTGCTAAAGAGAAGTTACCCCACAGCATGATGCTGCCACCACAATGTTTCACCATGATGTGACCAGGGTTTTCTACGTTTATCACTCTAATCCCAGTGTAAACTTTGTGGCTGGGATGGGAAATGTGGAGCACTTTAAGGTATATTGGAAATATTTCGAAGGACTGTTCTTCAGTTCTGCAGCTTGGAAAGAATTTACACAGCAAGAAAACAGAAAATAAATGATTAAAACTGAGATTTTCTATTAGAACCAAGGAAAAGAGCTGTTAGTTAAAAATATTTATTCCTTTAGGAGACTTTAGTGAAGAACTTAAATGTCAAACCCCCCCAGAAACCTTCAAAATATTTTCCTAGTTTATTCTTAAAAAGAAATATATATTTTTTAAAGCTTTCCTTTAGAGGTTTATGATAAATATAAATGACTTCTGTTCTGCTGTCGTTCTGGATCACAAACACTCACAACCGAGCTTTAGTATTTGAAGTTTTAGAGACGGTCAAATCTTCATACACACTGAAAAAAATTGGAGCACTCTTACTTAGATAACAATTTCCTTCAAAGAAATTATTTGTAAATTTCACTCAATAAAATCTAAGTTGATTTTATTATTATTAAACAAAGTAAATTTTACCACCAATTTCTCTTATGAACAAAAGATTAGAGAGACATACAACCGTGGACACACAAGGAGATTCTAGAGAAGCCAATTAACCTAACAGTCATGTTTTTAGACTGTGGGAGGAATCCAGAGTACCTGGACAGAACTCACGCATGCTCAGGGAGAACATGCAAGCTACATTCAGAAAGACTTTGGACCGGGAATTGAACCCAGGACCTTCTTGCTGCAAGGCAGCAGTGCTGTAAACTCTCATAAGGAAACAATATTTTCTATTTCTGACCTAAACCTGGTCAGAACAAACAACACCAAATTTATTCAAGCACAAATGCTTTGCTCCTGTTAAGATTGGAATTTATTTCAGTAGTTTTGTTAAAACTGTTCGCTAAGATAAATTAAATTGACTTGTTTTTTGATTGATATAGATTTACAAATGAATTGTACGTAACACATCAGATGAAAGGCGTCATTTTGAAGTAAATTCACTTCTATGAAAATTTGCAGTAAATTTTACATATAAACCAAGGTAATACTTACAGGAACAAAAAGTTCCTGTTTTTAGTGCAGCTCTATGGAGCACGGGGAGCCTTTCTGTCCGTCACCTCATTCTGTACGGTAAAATCTATCTGTTCTCGTGGGGTAAAAATGAAATGTTATAGTAAATCTATAATTTAAAGTATGTTTGTTGTTGAAATCAAAGCTAAAAAAAGTGAAAAAGATTTTTGACTTCCTGTTGGGACTTTGGGAAGCAGCAGGATTTAAAATAAAGTTTTGGTGAAGAAGGCCGGACAGTTAAGGCGACGCAGGAAATGATCTGAATGAATTATTGAGATATTTTCAGATCCAGAAGATCCCAAATGAACTGGAAGGGCTGTATTCTTTATGATTCCTCAATGGACCATTTAAAACAGACAAATATTAACTTCGTAACATTTGTTTCTCCTTTTATGACAATATATCCTCTTTACTCTTCTAAATCATCCCATCAAACTCAAAACGCTGTGCTCAAGTAAACATTTAAAATGCACAATTGTAAAGGGTTAAAATAATCATTGGCTTTCTTATCCTCTCAAAGTCAATAACTTGTGGATGGATTTCTACATTTACATACAGGGGATATATTAATTATTTAAAATAAAGATAATAAAGGTAACAAGAAGATGAAGAATCTAAAATATGAAAAGATGTTTAAATGTAAATTCCTCTCATGTCATTGGACAACTTTAAATAAAAAAAAACATCTATAAGAAAACATCAACATGTAAAACAAACTTTGACTTTTCATTTATCTGACTTTATAATTGACCTGGTTTTATAACTGATCTGGCTTTATAATGCATGGAGTGTGTATTTGTGCTTTTTGAATGAATTTGACAGTCAGCCATTTTGATGTGGCCTCTCTATAGACAGTCCTGTTAGCTCTGCTGCCAGCAAGTGACGTAGGAAGGAAAACGCTCCTGGGGAGGTTATTGTAAAGTCGTTTCTTACGTGAATTTTACAGCTTTCATTGTTCTTTATTTATAGGTAATTTTGGATTTGACAAACACTGCAGTCAGACAGAAAATGGCTGACTGTACAGCTGAAGGCTCAGAGCTCCACTACTGGCTCTCTGTTTGAGGGGAAATGCTGACACAAAGAGACCTAAAAGAAAAAATGAAATAAAATAAACTTTACTTTGAGAAAATTACCACAGAGTTGCATTTGAAACAAAAAATGTTTTCATTTTGTTTGTTGTTTTTGCTGCTATATCATACAGCCAAACTAAATTTGCAGTTTATATAATATTATTGCACATAATATGATAAATAAAAACTAGATAAAAAAAATTATATTTCAAAGAGAGGATTATTTAGATGTAAATAAATGAAAACCTGGATTGCTATTCACACACACCCTCTCACTCTTTTTCTCTCTCTCTCTCTCACACACACACACACACACACACACACACCTACACACACAAAGGATTATTTGGTTAATATTAAATGTTCTTATCACCACACACATAAAAGTCTTTAGATTCAAATGGAGTGTATAAATTAGTTTTAGAGATATATATACAGTACATTTGACACAAAACACATTTTTTTGTGCGAGTATAAGAGAAAAAAAGTCAAAAAGAGAAGCAAAACAAAGAGCTAAAAAATGTAAGATTTAGATGTAGGATTGTTTGAAATATAGAAACATAAAAGTGTAAATCAGGGTGCAGCTCATTGAAGGACTGGATTCAAACACACATTCAGACAGTATTTTTTTTAGACAGTGATTTCACTATTTCCTTATTCCTACAAAAAACAAATCTGCAATAAAATCATTTTGGTGATTCGTGCATTTTTCTGAATTGTATATATATATTTTTTTATCACATTAAATCACATTATTTGAGTGTTATATTTAAGGAGAAATATATGCGTTCTCAGTGTGTGTGTGTGTGTGTGTGTTCCTCCAACTTATTTTGTTTGATTCAAAATGTGTGTAAGGGTTTCATTGTAATCCCACGAACTCCTGTTTTACAGCTTAATAAAGTATCTTTTTGCACATATAAATATTTTACATCTCGGTCTCAACTTTGCCACTTTTCTTAGGAGACCGTTCATTTTGTATGTCACAGTTGTGGAACAGTGTGTGGAGAAAACAGAAAGGAAAACATGATAATATATTATTTTCCAGCGTTTATCTGAACCCATAAATGTTTCTGTGTGTGTTTGTCCATTTTAGGTCAGAAGTTATGAATTCAAGAGGAAAGAACCTGGAAGCTTTCTCATTGATAAAGCAGGAAAGAAGAGAAGGATCAAAGTTCCAACTTAGAAGATGAAGGAAGCTTCTTATGAGCTCAGCTTTCTGCTTTGTTTCTATCAGCAGCTGAAGCTGAGACGGTTCAGCCATGAGGTCTGCGCTGAACCAGTCTGATATCAGGATGGAAAGGTAAAAACTCGAGTGATCTGGGTGTGAATGAGCTTCATTCCTCTTTACATATAATTCAAAACCAAATTTCTGTTCTTGTCAGGATGTCTCAGTTTATAAAAAAGAATTTGGTTTTGTAATTTTTAATAATTGCAACGTTTGTTTGAGGTTATAACCTGAGATTCTGCGGGGAGACCTTCTCTAACTGTGGGAATTTGAATGTTTTCCACAATTCAGCTGCTGTAAAACGAGATCAGATTATTGCGGATTGATTCCTCTGATATTTATTAGGTTTTTTTCTTTTACTGCAACAATATCTGTGGGGTAAATCCTCTCCATAAGGTTATAATTATTCTCCCAGTGATGCATTATCCACTGGGGTAAAAAAAAACTTTTCTTTACACACAACAATCTTAAATGAGAAAGAATTAAGTTTTAAATGGTTTTCATTTCAATCATCCTCACTTAAAAAGTTCTATGAAAAGTTTTAGTTCAGTATTTTTCTTTCATAACAGTTTAGTTTCTTTAAGGTGTTTTTGTCGAGTGTTTTTACCTCAACTCATAATGTGTTAGTATTCACGCCTTGAAAAATGATTTTGAGTGTATTATTTCTCAACTAACTTATCTATGAAATAATTTTTCATTGACACACAAATCAAAGGCTGCATTGTCATTTTTTGAATAAATCTGAGACTTTTTTAGGTTTTGTCTGGAAGGTTGTCCATTAATGAACATGAGTGGTGCAGTCATAACGTTCACCTGAGGAAATGTATTTACTTTGGGCTTTTTTTAACAGATGTTTGCTTTGGAAACATAATTAAAATAAAACCTGAATCATAGTTACATTAACTTTTCATCAATAGACTTTTTATATGTCAATGTTTCCTTTACTTCCTCCCAGAAACAATGATGAATCCATTTAATGTTCCTCTGAAGGACGGCGCCTTACAAAATAAATCCCACCTCTTAATATCTTTGTATGTTAAATAGTGAACTTCCAGAAACTTCAATGTATTTACTGGGATTTTCTTTTTTGTCAAACTGAAAACTGGGTATGAGTTGTGTTCTGAAAGGAGAATAAAATCAATTCATTTTCATATTAAAATCTGAAAATATGAATCTGTTAACCCTAGTTAAAACATAAACAGTCGGATCCTCTAATAACTAAGTAGATCCCTTCTGTGTGTAATATCATTATGGAGCTCGGTGGTGGCAGCATCACCATGTGGGGTTTCTTTTCTTCAGCAAAGATTGGGAAGCTGGTCAGACGTGTTGAAGAGATGAACAGAGCTAACGATATAAGCTGGGGCTAAAGGCTTAGCGTCTCCAGCAGGAAAAGGATTCTTACGTTTAAACCAGAGCTTCACTGGAATGAAGCTTTTTTTTTTATCTCATGGAACACTGCAAAAAATGAAATATAAATAAGACCTTTTTTTCTTAAAGTAAGAGCATTTTTTCTTGAATTGAGGAGGTAAGTGAGACACTTTGCTAAATGGAACAAGAACATTTACATTTAAAATAAGAAAAAAACGATTGCAATGTCTTATTTCAAGTCCAAATGATCTAAAATTAAAATGCTCCTTCCATTGGCGAATCATTGTATTTACCTGCTCAAATTAAGGGTAGATACATTTAATTTAAGTCATTTTTACTGATTTCTACATCGTTTTTTGCAGTAAACAATTTAGTTCAATCCGAGAACCGAGTCCTAAAATAAGTTTGTGGAGAAAAATAAAACATTCCTATTCCCAATCCTTCCTGTCTTATCTGACTGAGTTTGAAAGCCTAGAACTTGAAAAAATTTCCATCTCTTATTATGCAAAGAAAGTATTGAGTCGAGAAAGGCTGAATGCAAACACTACTTTTCTCCTCTTTATGTGTGAAATCTTACGAAATTCCTCAATGTTTGCGGTTGTGACTTGATAAGGAGTAAAAAAAAATTAAAGGTGCAGGTATATTTTTGGAAACCTCTTTATGTTTGTGTGATGTATTTTTAAGAGTTTGCACCTGCTGACTGGGATGTTACATGTTGACCTAACAGAGTTAGAGAAAGGTTTAGATGCTATTGGGTCTTACTGAAATTTTAAGCATGACTAACGCAAATGTTAATCAAACACAAAAGCTACACTTTACTCTATTTTCTTCTACAGAATGTATCCATTTATAATTTAGATTCTGGGAGTTTTTGTAATGTTGCATGACAATCTAACAGGTTTGCGTGCATTTTTTTGAAAATTGTCTCTAATTTTGTGTGGTAAAATACATTTTTCAGCACAGGCAGATAGCTTTTGCATGAATTGGAGGATGTGTGTGTTTTTTCAGTCAAATGCAGCAGCTCCTAATTTGCTGATCGTGCTTAAGAAATGTTGAACCACACCGGATGATGTGATATTATCTCACATAAAAACTGTGAAAAGTGGTAATTAAATGTTTACATGTTTAAAAACACAAAACAAAACAAATGATTGTAAAAATATTTACACACACTCAGATCATTTTCTTTTTTTGTTTTGTTTTTAAATCAAATTAACATTGACCAACTAAAATTAAAAAATACAAACAAAATATCTAAAACATTTGACCTCTGTCACAAAACTCTCCCACCTAAAGACCCTTAAACTGGGAAAGTGTGTGAGTGTTCTGCTTACCAAAACAAAAAGCTGTGAACCATTTTTTGAAATGAATATACATGAATGTATGAAATTAACAAATTGGTGAGAATCTAAGCAGTTTTCTGTTGTCAGAAGTTCAGCTGTGCATTAAAACCACATGAAGTTCATCTTAACATTTATAGCAAAGATGCGCATGAACTGTAAACGTAACAATCCTGGGACTATTTCTTTGTTTCTATGTGTGAGGAAAATGCTGTGTGGGAAATATTTCAGCTGCTCGTTAACACAACTTTCTGTTTTGTGTTATTTATTCGTTTTCTGTGTGAGATGATCTTTGCAGTTTGAATTTACAGAGAGCTTTGATGCTGTAGATATGACACCGGATGTAAAAACTCAAAGAATGTGTGTATGGAAGCACGTTTTGACATCGATTAAATTAATTAATGGCACTAATTAAGGACTTAAAACTAAAAAAGAAAAAAACAACCCTGGAGTGTCTGGAAGTCAAAAAGTGTTATATTTTCTTTACCGAAGCACACACAACTTTCAAAAACTTTCAGCATATATCTGCTGTAATGTTTAGTCACTTTTGGTGACTTTCCTTAAGTAAAGATGAGGCTGATTTTAATCCGAGAATATTGGCTTATTTTAGTCCTCAGGTGGATCAGTGTCAGGAAGTAAGTAGTGGGAATGCAATGAGCAACTATTAAGTGTGACAGATTGAGGAGGTTGCCTGGACCTGAGCAGGCTGAAAGATCTCTGAGGCTCACATGTGAAAGGAATGGTGGTCTCCTCTGGTTCTCCAGGACATTATAGGACGTTATGAGAATCCACACAGATCTGCAGACAGTAGTTAGAACTGGGATAATCTGGCAAGGGATGGACAGCGTGAGGGGTGGGAATGATGCAAACTCAGCACATCTGCATTATCTTGTGTTTGGTTTTATGAATTATGTTCATTTTACAAATGTGGTAATAAAGGCCAGCTCTGCTGGATCTTTGGTTGTATTGGAAGCTTTGTACTGCAGAGGCTGATGTGCAACTGTAAGAAGTCTACCCATAAAATGAATCCAAGTTTTAGATTTAGTGTTTGGTTGCATATGTGAATTTTTAAAAGGAAAAGTCAGTAGTTTGAGATTTATAGTGAAACAAAAAAGTTTTTTTTTATTAATCAACACAGTGTGTTTAGTTTCATTTTGATGTTTTTTTTTTTTTCAAAATAAAAAAGTTTTTTCCTTGATTATGTGTGTATTAAATAGTCCATGGATTTCATGACTTTAATGTGTTTTTTTCTATATTTTGGGTTTTAGGAAAATGAGGTGGCATGAAGTAGTTACCAATGCAGCAGGTGAAACAAGAAGTGGAGGAACAGGATGAAGACAGATGACGACTGGGTGGAGGTAGCAGGATGGGTGAGCTAAGAGGCGAGCCCACACCTTATTTCCATGGGCACCACCCGAAACCAGGAAAGTCAAGTTGGAGCAGGACCCAAAAGCGCCCATGATGTCTGATCTCACAAAGGCAAGGTAAATGGGCGTGACTCGTGGATTGAATGTAAAAACAAGCATGCAAAAAAGTATGAAATATTATCATTTTTGATTAAAAAAAAATAGGGAAAGTAAAAACAAATTCAAATTGTTATAGTTATATGGATTTAAGGTGTTTATATTGGAAGCAAGGAGGAAAAAAGGAAACAGAAAAAGGTCCCAAAGTTTTGGTAAACTGCTTGTTTAAAATGAACTTCACTTATAGGACACAAACATTAAAGTTGTCATAAATGATGGCGTGGAAAAGCCCCCATCATGCCCACTGTATGGCGGACAATATGTGGTGCTGTGGGCCTGTTTTCTTCCAAATGCCCTTATCATCACACCAGGGTGGCCTATAAATCAAAGGTAAGCAGGAATCACCAATGAGTCTTTCAAAAAAAACAATAAATAAGAGGAATTTTGCCTTTTGGGTGCAGTTATCTTGAAAAAAGAAATAAAAGAAGCACAACTGGAGCTTAACATTTTTAGCAAATTCGTAAAAAATCTCAGCCTATTTAGAGTCCAGATGATTTTATGAAAATCTGATGGCAGAAGAATCAAAAAGGGTGTTTTAATCTGAAAAGTCTATGTCGATAATATCTAAAAATATAATTTTCTTATGTAAATGACTGAGTGGAAACCCTCCCTCGTCAATTTATGTTGTTCTTTAGCAACTGACTCTTCATTACCTGCCTAAAAATGTTTAGTGGATAAATTAACTTGCTGCAATTTAAATAGTGAAGATAGGGAAGTCAAAAGGAATCTTTAAAAATTGAGGTGAGGATCTAATCCTTAGACAGTAGTAACAGAGGCTGGTTTTCAGGCCAAGTTGTCATTTATTCCATTCAGTCACCAATAGATGCACCCACTAAAATTTAGCTTTTTACTTTCAGCTTTCCTGCACAAAGGATGTTAAGGTTTTTTAAAGAAAAAGTTATTTTGGAAGATATGTTTTGTAAATCAAAGCACTGTCTTTTTGGTGATTCACTAAAATCATTCTGAGACATGTTCCTCTTAATTTAGTCTCAATGGTAGACATGAAGCGGGACAAGAGAGGAAACTTCTAAGATACGAGGATGAAAAGCAAATATCAAGATTTTATTCTATGCTGCTTTTTTTTTTTTTTTTTACTAATTCTATTCATAGAAAATTTGAAACAATCTGATAAATTCAAACTAACCTACTGGTCATACAGTTATCTGTAAAATGGGCATTAGCAGCAATATGAAAAAATACAGCTAAGATTACTGATTTAATTGTGAATTGTGCAAGGCATGCACCCTCCTCAAAAACTGTCTGGATCAATACATAATCGGTTTCCTGCACAGCGTGGATGGATTGACAGGAATCTGTGTTTATTTCATGTCAGGAGGCTTTGAATTAGTTCGTTTTCAGCTTCTTGGTGGTTTTGCTTTAGTATGAATTTATAGACCTGAAATGGGAATGTGTGAGAAGCGTCTCCAGAGTGAGCAGCTCCGTGTGTGTGTGTGTGTGTGTGTGTGTGTGTGTGTGTGTGTGTGTGTGTGTGTTGCTGTATGTCTGGGGATCAGCATAGCAGTAGATGTAAGTCTGTCCTTTTTAGCTTGTTTGGAAAAAGCAGCTGACACGTTTTCCTTTTGTTTGTGTGTTCAGGATGAAGCACAGAAGACCAGTCCTCCCCCCATCATGCTGAGCAGCTGCACACTCAGCTCTGCCTCCTGAACACACACACAACAGGTGTGTATCAACTGGTTTTATCCTTAAATAGAACAAAAAATAATGAACTTTAATTTATGGCTGATTGTATACATTTAAAATGAAACGAGACACACTTTTCAGGTAAAAACTCACGAGGAACCATCCTTTATTCTCTTCCTCATTTAATTTACAGACACACACAAACACACTGTTTTTATTTATTATACATAAATTAATACACTTAAGTATCTATTAAGTCGTATTTTAATAATTTATAATGAAGCTGTTAGGCTCCAAAAACGCACCAATTATGGTAAAACTATAGACTAGAAATCTGTGAAGGATGATAAGCATACATGCGCTGCTCTTTTTCTGTCCTCAGATGAAGCAGCTGTCACATCGCAGTTCTCTGTCGGATAAAACACCACTGAAGGTTTGTAAATCAGTAAGTGTGACACCTGAGTCTGTAAGTTTGTTGTGGTTTTCTCCCTTCGTTTGTCCTCCTCGGTGAGCCGAGAAGTTGGAGCTGATGGTTGTTTCATACAGGAACAACATTGTGCGTAAATAATCCACGTGTGGCGCACATTAAAGCTTAAGGAGGTCCGGAATCGCCCTAGGCTCCTGCGTAAAGGATGCAGGGTGTGACCGCTTCTCCGACTGGTTTTGGGAACTCCTGCACAGATCAGAGAAAAAAATAAAATAAAATAAACAAACCAACAAGAATTTATTTTTGATGAAACTTTGCTGTTGTTGAGATCTTTCGACAGCAGACCATATTTTTTTTTATAGTTTAAGAAAATGTGGAATTAGTGTTTCTGCCTATTTTTCCAAGTCGTTAAGCTTTAGTTATCCTCGTGTGTGTTTCTGGTTCTGCAATATTAGTTTAAAAAGTGAAAAACAAAAAGCGCAGCCACAGCCCACCTGCGCTGAGTGAAGTTAAAAAGAGGATGGAGGATTTGCGGGTTCGTTTTTCCGCGCTCCTACTTTCTATTGCCCTGAAAGGCGCGTTTCAGCACCGCGGAGCGGACAGCAACACGCAAGGAGGGGAGGGGAGGGGGGTTATCTTTAGGAGGAAATCTGAAACCTGAAGCCTTTAAATCATGAACATTTAAAATATAAACTTAAATATTCCTAACAAAAGTCTCCCATTTGGTTTCTACAGTTTAACTTTGAAATAATAATAATAAAAAGTGTGTGTGTGTGTGTGTGTGTGTGTGGATTTGCGTGTGTATGGGGGGGCGAGGGGTGGGAAAAAGTGTGTGGTTGGTAAAGAAAGACAGGGCGAAACTTTCAAGGTTTCAATGTAAAGAATAATTATTGTCTGCAGTCGATACCACAGCAGACATGTGTTTAACACACTTAAAGACTTAAAAAAGCACTGTTTAATGAAACCTATAAATCGCCTATTTTTAAAAAAGTAAAACATCTGTTTTTGTGTGCGTTTTGGGTCTTGTAGCTCTCATTTTATTTATGCAACATCATTTGGAATCTGTGGTAAAAAGATATGAAAAAGTTTAAAGATTACCTTTTTGGATAATTCTCCTGCTCAAAAAACAAACAAACAAACTATGAAAAAAACAGACCCGGTTTAGTTTTCTGATACAAAATGCATGATGGGATATAAAAAAAAATAATCCACAAATGATATTCAACCTTAACAGTAAAAAAACCAACATAAAGTTAATTGGCTTTTCCCACTAGGCTTACCTGCAGAATATATTGCTGGAAATGTCCATGTTATCTTCATCTGACAAAGTCAGCAGCTCTTGATGGGGTTTGACAAACTCTATGTTTTTGTTTGTGATGGTAGTTAGGATGGCTGGTAGTTATGGTGGCCATCTTTACTGTAGACCTTTAAATATAACAATTCAATGAAATGTTGTTTTTACCTTCCTTAACCTCCTGCTAGTTTTTAAAGCAGCTTTTCAATTTTGGCTCTGAAAATACATATTGTCAAGTTGATTTGAGTGTGTCTTCTTTGTTGACTTATACCAACACATATTTGATGTACATAAAATCTATGTTTCCCATTTTAAGGAGCCAGTAACAAAAATGTGGCTACTTAAACGCTGCTGGAAGTATTAGTTAAAGGGAAACATTTGGAAAACAAATTTTGCCGTTTTTATATCTTTTATAGCTATCACTATTAATTTAATTAGAACATTTTGTTGTTTACACAGGGTTATTTTTTTTCTCAGTCTGAATATGTTGAAATTTAAGGTGGATCTTTAAGGTGAATTTTTCGAAGATAAATATGAAGTCTTTTTAAAAAAATGATGAAGGTAAATTTGAGTGCATCTGTATAGATTTAGCAGGACTTAACATCATTGATAAACAGCATTTTTTGTTTTTGTTTGTGTCTCTACAGCTGTTTGGCAGACAAATCATGGCAGTGATCTGAGGCCGGATTCCCCTGTTTGCAGTGTGTGTGTGAGAGAGAGCATCAGAGTGAGTGTGTGTATAACAGCTGGATGCTCATTTTCTGTCTTCTCAAACATGTAACATTTTTCTTGGCTGTGCAACATTCCAATCATACTGTATATTGGATCTGCTGTGTTACATATTAAATATAAAATGCAGACCCTTTTTAAACCTGTATGTTTTCCTCATTATTGTACTAGAGCAGTCAGTTTGTGCCATGAATTATTTATATTAAAGATGACATTTGTGCAAATATTTTTTTCTAAAAAAAAAAAAAAAAAAAAAAAAGCTGATTTTTTTTCCCCTCGTGCATTTTGCTGAATTTGTTATGAAATGTTTATACAATTTGTTTCTCCTTCCTCTCGGATGCCCGACGATTGTGTCTAATTTTGCGAACAGCAGCAGGAACATTTTTGAGGAGAAACACCAGTTTCTTACTCTCACTGCTCTGCAGAGTACACAGCAGGTTCTGCTGGGAGCCACAGAGCCTTGGTCTGGCTGCATTTCGTGTTTGGTTTGCCCGGTTGCCTGGATGGATGAGGGGGGAAGACATGGAGCATGGCGGCTTGCAGGCAGATAGGGTGTGAAAACAACAAATGAAAAACTGTTGCAAACATCCTACTATAATGCTGCTGATTTTTATTGTGAAAAAATTAAAAAGGTGACATGCTTTGCTGACGTGTAACAAGTTTTTTCTATGAACTCGTGTGGAAATTTTAAACACTCTGTGAAATAAAAGCGATGGAAATTTACAAGCCTGAATGTTTATGTAACACTCACACATCACCTCAATGTTTTGGATTGGGGAACTCACAACTGATGAGTAATATCGCGAGAGCTCTGGCTGGTGCGGACGGTGTAGAGCTGGGGTTTGTAGTTTTTTCTATCTACTGAGCATCTAAGGCTGATAAGTGCAGGAGAAGCGGGAGCAGCAGCATGTGAAGGGCGCTACATCATTCTGAATCTAGATGCCAGGATGCTTACATGCACCTGTTTTCACATTTTTTGGTGATTATCAGCATTGCGATGCAGACAGAATACCTGAAATAGTGGGGTGAGTCATGCTTTGCTGACCTCACAGACCGGCGTCACTTCAGCCAATGGGGGGGCTTTATGCGCCCTCCGTGGGGCGGGTGGATGCGCACATTCCGCACCAATGAAGGCACCATTTCATTCATAAAGTGGTATGGGCAGTTTTTTTTTTTTCGAAAGCGTCGGTTCTGGTGGTTTCATAATTCTCACTGAAACTGTCTTACCTGTTCCCCCAACAGCCAATCAGAAACTCCGGATGAGAGCTGCCGTAATGTGCGTCCAATCACAGCGCGCTCCGATTCCGGCTCAGTCCCGCCCCCTACTTCATACAGAAAACCTAATGAATGGGGGGGAAGCTCCGGTTTTGACTGACATGAGAACTGACCAATGAGGTGAAGCGGACTGACAGAGGGACACCTGCTGCAGCCAGTCAGGAGCGGAGGTGGGCGTGGCTCTTCAAATCAGGCTAGACAACTGTTGGGGGGGTGAGGGGTGGGAGTGTGTGTGTGATGCTACAACCTCCTTATAAAGGGACTCTCTCTCACGTTGTGGCAGGGAAATTAGAGCACATTGCCTAAAATTGAGGTCTCCAGCGTTACCCACTCTGCTCCACGCACACACGCGCTGAGTCACCGAGAAGCTGCAGCCATGGACCTGGAGAGCGTGGATGAGCTGATCAGCTGGGCCGAGACGCCTCTGCTCTGGGTCGGTGGGTTTACCGTGGCCTTCCTGGTGCTGTGGCTGCTCTACAGGCTGATCACAGGCGTTAGGATATGGATCCTGGGGAACGGGCAGCTCCTCAGCCCAAAGCTGGGGAAATGGGCAGGTGAGTCTGCTTATAGCAGTGGGCTGTTTTTTCCACGCCGCCGCAGTTACATGGCGGCCAGAAGAATCTCTGTGGGGCTTAAACTTCACTTTAGACCCAGGAAAGGTGAATCCTGGTTGGGTTTGTCTGTGCGCCTTACTTCATGTTTGTGTTGCATAACAGGTTCAGGTAAGCAGGTAATTAACTCACAAGGCATTGGTCTTTATTTGCTCGATTACCTTTTTTCTCCTCCCTTTTGTTTCTCTAACCACCTGGCTCCCAATCAGCATTTTAACCCCCCATTGGAGCAGTGTGAGGGGAACTAGGCAATAGGTGGGGGCGGGAGGGGGAGCCCCACATTGGTGAGCCAGGAGCCAAAATTGCGCAGGCTATGCGCACTTTTCAGCCCGCAGTTTTAGCGTGGGGGTTCAGACTCTAACAGTAATAAATTTATACAAAGCTAAAGCGGCCTATAGCCTGTAATAAAACCTGACCCACATGTGGATCCTTTAAATGACACGTGTCAAATTAAAGTTGTCAATCTATCATTTTGACACGTGCTTCACTTCTATTCTTCACCTTATCCATCTTGATGAATGGTGCCGATAATTGATGGGACCAGGATGAATCCTTCATTGATTGTTGTAATCTCAGATCATCATGTCGTTGTCCCTCTTTGACCCACTTCCCCAGTCTCCTCCTCCCCGGTAAAGGCTGCAGCTCAGTCCGCTCTCCTCTGCATCCTGCCGGCTTCATTCAGACAGAAGCAGGCTGATGATCCTGGCTGGTTTTTACCCTCCATTCTCAGACTGATCACCACACAGTTCTGGTCGGAGCTGTGTGGTTTTCCTCCGATTGATCAATAATCTTTAATTGGTTCCATCAGGGGGGAGGGGGGGTGATAAATGTGTTAATGGCTTATCCCCCCCTCCCTGACTGACTGAATGCGGAGGAATGTCGCTGCACTGATGAATCACGCTTGATTATCGTCATCCATTGCCCTCTGATCACCTTCTTTCCATCGGTATTTCCAATCCCCCTTGTATTATTGCGTAGGAAGTGACTATTAATTGTGATGCCATTGCCCCCCCCCGCCCTACCTCTTTGTTTTTCGTGCATGATGGGAGGGGTGACTTTCAATCTGTTGGGGATTTAACCTCATCCTAACTTTTCCACGCATGCTGCTCCTTTGCGTAACTCTAAGTTGCATGCCACTCCCTGAAACCTGCGACTTCCACCAGTCTGACAGGTCTGAAGTTCGTCCCCGGTCACAACGGCTGAGGATGGCACTGGGTGAGCAGGTGTGGGGGGGTGGGGGAGGTGAGCTGTGCGCCATGGATGAGCTGTTCCTCTCAACAGGTTGGCCCTGATGCGCCTGTGTAGCCAGTTTAGGCGGTGGTGATTTTTCTTGCTTGGCACATTCACCGTGTGTGTGTGTGGGGTGGGGGGGGGGGGGGGGGGCGGCTGTAAATATCTATAGCGTTTAGTTTCAGCTTCATTCTTACTTGCTGCTCCAAATTCTCCATCTCCAGTTTTTAATGATTTAGTTTTATTCAAACCTTACTTTGGTCCTTCTGACCCTCAGATTACATCTACATTCTATTTTTCAGTCCAGACACAGTGCAGTTAATCCGATTTTTAAACCTGTCAGCTTTTCTTAAACTTATTTTTAGGCATTTGTGTTTCAAACTTACACAAGTAAGTAGTCATTGATCTGGTGCAAAATGAAAGGTTTGTTCTTTTATTGTATTTTTAAAGCAAAAAAAAACTCCTTATAAGTTTCAGCGTCGGGGTTATGGTGGTTTATTGCTGCCAGATATGACCATAATTTGGACTCTAAGTAAGTTTAATTTATTTAGCCACCTTAGTGTAGCAAACTTCAGTTATACATTACCCATCTAAACCTATAATATTATCAGTATCTCTACTGATCCTTGCCTTTTTGTTTTTCGATTGGGGAGCAAAATTTCAGGCGTTCAGCCGAATTATTTATTAAAATGTTTTTCCAGATTGAATCCAAATTAGTGGCTGTTATTAAATTTGCTTTGAGATATGACCGGCTTCCAAGCTGTGTGAAGTAAACTTCTAGTTCTTCTTTAATTCCTTCTGAATTATTTTAGCGAAATGTTGTATTCGGTCCTGTCCAGTCCTCCAACTGATCCTAAACAATATGTTAAACACAAGATACAGCAAAATCAAGTATTGTACTGTAAATCAAAAGTGTTCAACAAATAATTTAATTTCCACAGACATAAAAAGTGCTTTTATTTTTAACTAATGGAAAATTTGCTGACTTGGCTGATTAGACCGTAGTCATGGTAACAGGTATTTCAGGTTTAGAGTGTTTTGCCGTAACAAGGAATTTAACTTATCAGCAGTCTGTGGATTGAGTGAAGCTCTGCAGATCCGGGATTCCACCGGCTCTCCTGGGTTCTCTGTAGATGGCTGGGACTCCTAAGGGCAGAGTAGGAGGATTGCAGCATGAATCCAGTTTCTACAGCCCCTCTGCTGCACCATCAGCAGCTCCTCTTATGTTTGCCAACCAAAAGAACCCTTTTGCTAAAGCCAAATCCAAGGCATGGATTTCTTTTTTAAGGATTTTTTTGTAGTGTTTAATTTACATTTATTCTTTAAATGCAGTTTTCAGTTGAAGCATCATTCTTTTTTTATTGACTATGCACCTTCCTGGTCATATATGCAGTGCAGTGAGGGTTTGCCTCACTCCACTCCCTCCCTCAGGGTTACTCTCCGGTTTGCCGTATTATGTAAGCGGATGCCGGAGCCTGCTCTGTTACGTGCTTGTAAAACTCCATTATAGGGAAATGAATTTAGACTGAGATGTTTTTGTGGAGGGGAGGATAGGATGGGTTGTGGCTCTGTTTTCACCTCTAATTTCCTTTGACATTAGGTTATTCAGAAAATGTCTGTTATGTAAGGCGGATATAGCCATTCATCAGGGGAACACACTGACAAAGGCATGGGTTAGTCAGCTGTCTTTACTTGCATGCAGTTTCACACAGTCCTAAGCATTTGGACATTTTACCCTTTAGTATTTTTAATGAAAGGGCTCTAAATATTATTCTTTGAGGTCCATCAGCCCATGTCTCAATAGATGCATGGGTTCTCATTTATGCTTCCCCTGGTGCTGTATGTGTGGGTGGAGGGAAGGTGGGCTGCCGCTCATGTGATGAACACGCTCCGTCACACGTGTCGGAGGAATGGATGCTGGACAAAATGAATGGAAATTTAAACTTCTGTTTCCCTCCCTTAGTGTTTCATTTTTCTTCGTCTTTAGCCATCTGAGCCATCTTTGCCTGTTGGGGAATTGTCAAACTAGCTTTTTTTAGCACGTATAGGCAAGTTTAATTGGCTTCTGTAATGCTGGTGTTTCCCA